CTGTTTTCAGTTCCTTACAGGAAAAAGAAACTAAACTCTGGCTTATAGAATTTAGCAAGGTCTCTTCAAATAGCCCTTCCCTCTCAGAAAGGTGCCACTCTTTTCTAAAGGCTTCTTGCAGACCCCGTTCTTCAGTCTTTGAAAGTGGTGTCCGGGGCACAACTGGTTTATAGAGAACATTTATTAACTTATTTCTCCTTATCTCCCTGCCCTTATCCCCCACCTCCTCTTTTATCGGCAAGCAAATTTCAAAAAGGGGGGAACTACACATGTGAACACAATAATTTCCAGAACAAACCCAGAGATCAATTATTGATAGCTATGTAAAGTGTTGCAAACAGGGGCATGTTTGACTGCTGTGGCTGAGTGGAGAACAAAAAGCATTATCACCAGAAACACAAGGCTCCATTCATTTCCTTGGAAATTCAGAGTAGTTTAAAATATTGCTACGGGACAAAGAGATTTTACTCTGGTGCTAACTCATTGACTTTTAGTGAAAAATACTTTTTAACACTTTTTTTCAGGATTTGATGTTGATGATGTCAGTCCTTAATGCATGTCAATTATCTTACTATTCCTCTATGGGTTTCCTAGTGCTCTGCTATGGATTGTTGTTAGTCTGCAGTGAAATGCCTCTGTCCAGCCATCTCCTCTCTGTTCATGTAAACCCAGCATTCCAGTCTGTTTCGAAATTCAGAACAGTGGTGAATGGAATTGCCATTGTTGATAAGATATCACTTTGTGTATTGGTTTTTCTCTGTTAGTAGCTGAATGCTTTAACAAGTTTATCAGCCCCACTCGCTTAACAAATATGTTAAAACCGGAACTGTGGTTTCAAAGGCTCCAAAGTAAATAGGACAAATATTGCTGGGTTGAAAATTTCCTTCTTGCCATAAATCTGAGTTCAAAGAAGCTATAGAATTAAGCATTGTGCTTTTCATGTGAAATTCAATTCGACAAACATTTGTTGTTAAAAAAATGCTTTTAACTTCCCCTTCTTAATATAGTGGGTCCTGTAGAAGGAGGAAGTTTAGTGCCAAACACTGAACCATTTTCTATTGAGGTTAGTAGAGGTTATCCACAGGACTGAAGAGTTGGGGAGACTTCTCCTCCAGTTCTATGGTTTTCCTCCATGGTCTACCTTTTTTTTTTTTTAAACATAGTTCCAAATATCCAAGTATAATAGAAAAACGGTGAATTCAAAGGTTTTGTCTCATCCTTCTTATTTATTTGGGGCCACATCAGTTCACATTTCCTAAGTTCTCATCAGTCAGCAACAATTGCCCAGACTCCATAGTCTGTTGGATTGACCAAGTCTGGCTTACATTATAATGGAGGACACAAGAACTCTCTCACATGACTCAGAAATTCCTAGGAAAGTAGACAATACCTGAATGCATGTGTGACTGCCATTGGTGTAGTCAGACACATCCATCGCTCAAAGACAAGTCATTCTTTGTACATCTATACTCAGATATCCACATTGGGGTTCCTAGGGGTTGCTTGGCTAGTTGGAGAAGGCCTGAGATTGTGTAGTGAAGAAATTCAGAGGAATTTTGAGCAGAGTCAGTGTCAAGGAAGGTCAGGGAGCAGGGACATTTCTCAGGGAATGTGATATGTAGGAGAAGGTATGGAGAAGTGACATCCTAGGTTAAGGTACTGAGGTAAAATATGGCCCCAGGGTTCAGGGTTTCGTGAAGCCCATCCTTGGAGCTTCTACGAATCTGTGAAGTCCAGGTTAAAAGCTGCTTTTATGATACCTGTCTGAACAGACAGAAGTTAGTGTGGTATAGGCCAGGAAAGGCAGAAAGGGGAGCAGAAGGAAAGAAAAGTAGTTCTGTTCCTCAAACCAAAGGGAATGCTGAAGGATGGATCTGGGAGCCCTGAGAAGTTCCAGGTAGAGTGGATCAGATGACAGGAGGCCTTCTAAAAAAGACACAGGAGTGACTTTGGGCTATGAACCTAAAGAGACCCCAATTACCAGTGACCTGGCTTCCGAACACTCTCATCAACTCTCACACAGGACTGAAGATTTCCCTCTTAAATGTTCACTGGGGACCAGGTGTGGTGGCTCATGCCTGTAAGCCCAGCACTTTGGGAGGCCAAGCGAGGTGGATCACCTGAGGTCAGGAGTTCAAGACCAGCCTGGCCAATATGGGGAAACCCTATCTCTTCTAAAAATACAAAAATTAGCCAGGCATGGTAGCATATGCCTGTAATCCCGAGGCAGGAGAATCACTTGAACCTGGGAGGCGGAGGTTGCAGTGAGCTGAGATTGTGCCACTGCCCTCCAGTCTGGGCGACAGAACAAAACTCCATCTCAAAAAAAAAAAAAAAAAAAAAAGGTTAGAATAGGGAATAGATTTTACTCATCTGAACAAAACAACATAATGTTTGTCATCAGGTAGTATAAATACCATCCATATTGATATAATTCTATTTTTCTCTTCTATTTTCCTTGGTAGAAAGTGACAATTGTTTCTTTGGTTTACAAAGCTCTTTCATTTTCACAATGAGCCTGAGGTTAGTCATTTTCTGCACTTTTCAAGGGAGTTGAGGCTCTGGGCAGTTTAGGGGCTTGTCTAGTGCCCTCAGCTTGGGGTGGCTGAAAGCATAACTCCAAGCTCAGTGCTACTTCCACCATACTTTCTACTTGGTTCTTGGTCAGACAGGTCCTATTTTTGTGCTTGGGATTTCACTGCATTGCTGATGCTCACACCCATCCTCTCCTGACAAAGACCATTAACTACATCACTGATCTCTGCCTTGACCACTTGTTCAATAGTTTTAGCCATTGGGCTAACAGTTGTAAGGCACCAAGATATGTGACCCACCTGAGACTCAGGAATGCCTTATCACTCCCACAAATGGAGTCCTCTAGTTACCCCCGAGCAAGGAGCAGGAGCACTAATCTCCGCTCCCCTTCATAAGAAAGAACAACCAATCTGTCCAATTACAGAGAACTTTGGAAAGATGCCAACGCACTCTGAGCCCAGAATTGTGAGGTCCAGAGAAGAAATTCAGCTCCAAAAGGACGAGGTTTGTGAAGACCTACAAGGTGTTTCTGGGGTCCTTGGACACACAAAAAACCAGAAGCCATCAATGAGTGCGACAGCTTTAACTCCCTTCCTGTAGGACCTGCTATATTAGAATCCAAAGTTTGCTTGGGAGCTGTCCTACCTGCTCACACTAGGGCATCCAGGGGGAACTGTGGATAGCTGCTCATGGCCCAGACAGGTGACTGATCAGAGAATGGCTCCAAAGAAGATTACTAAGAGCTCATTTCAGGGGCAGTGGGGAATAGACCACAGGTGAGTGCTAATACCATATGAAATGTGGGAATTGCCCCATCAGTGGAGGGCAACAAAGCTGGCTTCCTGAGACTGGAAGGAGGCTCATACTCCCAAGGGGAACACTGGGGAAAAAGAAGCCTTCCTGCAACCACTGTGACTGACAGTGGGAAACTACTTCTCATTCTAGATCACTGGGGCTTTGGACTGCAGGGGTTTGTTCATTGCTTATTTGTGGTGATGGGGTTTCTTTTCTTTTAATCAAACTTGCAAAGAGGAGTTTGTACCACCGTACAGGGTCTCTGTCCATCATTTTGATTCAAGCTAAACTGATCAAGTGCAGGTTATGTTGGCTACAGGATTATGCCAGGATACAGTTTTCTCTAGGTGAAATAATTCCTTTATAATCCCCATAATAGATCTACAAACAAGCAGGATTAGTGGGTGGGTCACCTTAAAAATCTGGTGAACCCCCTCTTGTTCCCAAGTACCTGTGTTTGGGGGAACTTAGTAAAGGGAGGAGCTTCCTGGGAACTTCTTATATTTAGTCTCAATCTGCCAATGATTTACTTACCCCTGTGTTGTTGAATTGGAAGATTAGGTGGTGATTTATCAGAAAGTGTAGCAGGAAAAACTTGTCATTTCGAAGACCTCAAATACCGGTTAACTGCAAGTTTCCAGCTAGAAGGTAAGCTCTGATTCACTGTTTTGTATTTTCTAAAAGAGTTACATATAATTTGAAAAAACAGACCTGCCAAGAATTGAGATCTGTGTTCTCCTGGGTTAGACCTAACACTTGTGGTGAGGGAAGCACTGCAGGTAACGGTTCAGAGCCTGGACTTCGGTGGCAGGTGGAGGCAAGTTACAGTCACAGCTCTGCTACTTGCTAATTGTGTGATTTTGGCAATTATTTAACTCGTTAGCCTTCAGTTTGCTTCCTTGGTTAATGTTTTTCTTAGTTCTATTAGTTTTTCAATTATGTTTTCTGAAACTAGAGATACTTTTGCCTATTTTAATATTCACAGTAGAAATTCCTTTCTCTTGTTTCATTGCATTACAGTTATTAGATGATATCAGTAACAATGACAATGGACATTCCTATCATATTCCTGTCTTTAATGAGATGTTTCAAATGTTTCATATTGAGTACGATAATTGCTATATGTTCTGGTAGACACTGTTTAAAATCAGCTTAAGAAAGTTTCCTTGTACTTTAAAAAATTGTGAATAGATGTGAAAGTCACATTCTTGGCATCTCTTGAGCCAAAATAATTATATGGCTTTTCTTCTTTCATCTGTTAAAATAATGCATTTTATCAATAGTTTTCCCTATTAACTAATTATTTTTAATGTCAAATCATTTTAAAATCTAAGCTAAATCCTAATTGGCTATGATGCGTTTTTCTTTTTCACACATTTCTTTTTTTAATTTCTTGTCATGGTTTTCACTATGCTGCCCAAACCAGTACTGAGCCCTCGGATTCAAGGGATCCTTCTGCCTCAGTCTCCCTAGTAGTGGGGACTACAGGCATGTGCCACCATGCCTGGATGCATTTTTCTCTTTAATATTTCTGGACTTGATTTTGTCATATTTTATTTAAGATTTTTAAAATTTAAGTTTTAAAATGATATTCATGAATCATTTTCTCATGTGCCATCTTTATCAGGTTTTGCAATTGTAATTTTTAATTAATTGTGTTAATTTAAAAGAGCAGGCTGGCACAGAGAAGTGGACATGCTGAAGGAGCTCCAGCTCTCCCTGTCAGTCATCCTGCTGCTTGCCTGTGGCTTCCTCTACCAGTTCACCCTGAAGTCCAGCTGCCTCTTCTGCTCGCCTTCTTTCAAGTCCCAGCAGGGGCCGGAAGCCCTCCTGAGCCACAAACGTGGCATTGTGTTTCTAGAGACCTCAGAGAGAATAGAGCCACCCCACTTGGTCTCCTGTGCTGTAGAGTCTGCTGCCAAGATTTATCCTGAGCGGCCTGTGGCGTTTTTTATGAAGGGTCTCACTGATTCCACGCTGACACCCTCAAACTCCACATACCCAGCTTTTTCCCTGCTCTCAGAAATAGACAATGTTTTTCTCTTCCCTTTGGATATGAAAAGGCTGTTTGAAGACACACCATTGTTTTCATGGTACACTCAAGTAAGTGTACAAGGGAACTTAAAATGTTGATGAATTATATATATGGGTAAACTGAGGGTAAGGACTCATGTCGGAGATGGCACTAGAACCCATGTTTGGGTTGACTCTCATTTGGCCCTCTTTTTTATCACACTGAAAGCTGATCAAGTAAACAGGGGAGACTTAGGTTAGGTGTATCTTTAGTGTCTTTTGCTTCTAGCCTTATTTCTTTTAGGATCTTGGTTACTTTGGAGACTATTCTTAACTGAATGAGTTTTTATATCTTTTCTAGGTGTATTGGACATTTATTTTTTACTACAGTTTTAAATCCACTCTTTTTTTTTTGCACCTAAGGTGGAAATCAGGCAATATTTAACATGAAATTGATGTAAGTAGAAAATTCATGAAGGCATTGTGAAATGCTGTGATATGAGATTGGGTTGTATTAAGACATGGTTGAGAAACTCCTGGAGCTCGGAGGAATTTTGTAATCCCCATATTAGCAAACCATAAGAAGGGAATAACATTCCAATCTAATATTTTTCTTACAGAGGAGTTGAAATCAGGTTACTTAAGGAAATTATAGTACAACCACTCAATGATTCCATTATGCAGGCTTTATGATTTTTTAAAACTGACATCTTATGAAGACTATAACACAATATGGAATTAAAACCACCTTATATCATAATATAATTATATATGATGTAATTATAATAGCTATAACGATTTAAGTTATGCAAAAACCCACACACATCTATCGAAAAAAAGAGACCTGAAAGAACTATACAACACATTAATAGTAGATGTTTTAGTATAATTGGATTAGGAGTGAATTTAGTGATGAGAATGTGTTGATTTTATAAATAAAATTATTTTAGAAAACAAAAAGTAATTTAAAAATTGACACAAAAATAATACTATTCACACTGGGTGTGCTGGCATGCATCTGTAGTTCCAGCTACTGAGGGACTGGGAGAGGCTGAGGCAGGAGGATCGCTGGAGCCCAGGAGTTCAAAGGCCAGCCTGGGCAACATATTGGTATAAAACAACAGAAATTCATTCTCTCACAGTTCTGGAGGCCAGAAGTCCCAGATTATTTTCACTGGGCCAATATCAAAGTGCTGGCAGGGGTGTGTTTCCTTCTGAGTTCCTAGGGAAGGATGATCCCTTGCTTCTTACAAGCTTCTGTGGCTGCCAGCATTCTATGGCCAACAGCCCCTCACTCCAATCTCTGCCTCCATCTTCAAATCTCCTTCTCCTCTGTGTGTAAAATCTCCCTCTGTCTCTCTTTAAATGATACTTATGATTGCATTTAGGGCCCATCCAGGATATCTCCCTATTTTAAGGTTCTTAACGACATCTGCAAAGTACTTTTCCCATATAAGGTAACAATAACAGGTTCCAGGAATTAGGACCTGAGGTCTTTCGGTAGCCACTATTTAGCCTACTCCCTGCCCCACCTCATTTACCTGGGGACTGGGTGGACTGTCCTGGGTGCAGGGCGTGCTTGCACCTACTTGCTGTCAAGTGGAGACATTTTTTGGTTTAAGTGATAGACCTGATGAGGAGGGATCTGGTGGGCCAGAAAGGTAGGGCTGGGGCTGGGAGTGGCCCTTGTGGTTAGTTTTATTCTTGGCCCCAATGACTTCTAGATCCCAAAGTGCCTATCTCTCCTTCTGAAGAGCCCTGAAGTCCTCAAATGGGGACCTATCAGGAGGAGATGGGGCAGTTCATGGACTGAGTTTCCACTGTGAGGTCCTGGCAGTTGCCAACAGCAGAGTTCCTAACAAGTAGGTGGTGCTGCCCTGTGCCATGGCAGGGTGGGCAGAGGGGTAGGGAGGCAGTTGCTGGGAGTGGAGGAGACACCCTAGCTTGGTCTCTGTGGCTCTCAGTGCTAGCCTGCTATAGGGTGCTCTGGGACTCTACAAGTTTCCTGATAACCAGGGCGAGATTAATGCTGCTTGATATAGTTTGAATATATGTCCTCACCAAATCTCATGTGGAATTGTATTCCCCAGTGTTGCAGGTGGGGCCTGGTAGGAGGTAAGTGGGTCATGGGGGTGGATCCCTTAAGTCTTGGTGCTCTCCTCGGGATAGTGAGCGGGTTCTCTTGAGATCTGGAAGTTTAAAAGTGTGTGGCACCTCCCCCTCCCGCCCCTACTCTCTCTCTGTCTCTATCCTGCTCTCCCCATGTGATGCGCCTACTCCTGCTTCACCTTCAGCTGTGAGTAAAAGCTCCCAGAGGCCTCCCCAGAAGTCAAGCAAATGCTATTGCTTTGCTTCCTGTACAGTCTGCAGAACTGTGAGCCAATCAAACCTCTTTTCTTTATAAATTACCCAGTCTCAGGTATGTCCTTATAGGAATGCAAGAACAACCTAACACACTGCCTAAATTGTATTTATCTCCTTGAAAAAAATCTGTAATCAAATTATTTTGGGAGAAGTTGCATACTTCATCCTTTTCTTACAGATGAATCACGAACATAAGGACACTAAAGCCTCTTTATCATTCTGAATTAAAGAAATTTAAGTGGATTCAACCCATCACTTCCTAAACTTATCTAAGCATGGAACCCTCTTTCAGTGTGACATATAAATAATCTCTTGGCACGGATGTTCCATGGAACACAGTTTAGATTGCTCTGAGCTGCACCTTATTTTACTACATTGGATTTTAGGAGCAAGATGGGCTCTGAGCTGGAAAGCTCCTAAGTGTTTGTTCTGTCTGAGCCAGCAGGATTGTACATCTACAGGGATTACACCACAGAACCCTAGGATGCTGGGCTGTGGCATGGGCTTCCCCAATTAGGCCAACGCAGGTTAGCTGGGAGCCACCTGTTAGGAAAGACCCAAGGTGCCATCACTTCCTTGTGACCACTGGGTTTGTTGCATTGATCTGGACTATTGTAGCCCTTGAAGATGCCCAGGAATGAGAACTATGGGCATAGGAGGGAATGGGTGACTGTCCTCTGAGCAGCTAGAACCCTAAGCCTCTTTCTGCTGCTCATCCCTATTGGAGCGCTTATGTTTTAGGTTGATTATTACTCTAATGCCTTCATCAAGGCAGATTCTTCTTCTTCCAGTTTTGTGTGGCTTTTGATATCCTATGTCTCTGGGTCTGTTCACTAACAATTGCCAATTTACCAAATAATCATTTACTTATTTTTATCAAAATCTTGTTTTGTTTGACTGAGTGGACATCTGGAGCCAGACTGCCTCGGTTCAAATTCAATCTCTGCCTCTCTTACCTTGAACAAATGACTGAACTTCCTGGTCATAATTTTTAACTTGAAAAATAGGAATAACCATAGTTCTTATTTTTGAGGACTTGTGTAGATTATAAAGAGCTTAGGACAATTATTGATAAATGTTAGCTATTATTATTAGGTTTTTGGCAATTGTAAACAATGTGACTTTTTTTTTTTTGAGATGGAATTTCACTTTTGCCACTCAGGTTGGAGTGCAATGGCATGGTCTTGGTTCACTGCAAGCTCTGCCTCCTGGGTTCAAGTGATTCTCCTGTCTCAGCCTCCCTAGTAGCTGGGATTACAGGTGCCTGCCACCACACCCAGCTAATTTTTGTACTTTTAGTAGAGACAGGGTTTCACCACATTGGCCAGGCTGGTCTCGAACTCCTGACCTCAGGTGATCCACTCTCCTCAGCCTCCCAAAGTGCTGGGATTACAGGTATGAGCCACCGCTCCCAGCACAATGTGACAATTTTTAACACCTTGTGAAGATTTCTGCAAAGTTTTAGTTGATCTGCTTTCATTAGACTTGATAGCAGAATTTTAAAGACTGTTCATTTTGTCAAAAGCCAAGGGTGGTTGTTTAATCTTTTAACCAATGTATTTAAAATTAAAACAAAATACATTTTGCTTTCTCTTTCTCTTCAAAATCTTAACATTCCATATGGGAACACTGCCAATTATGCTGATTTATTTTTATTCTTTTTAGAGTCATTTTCTGTTTTGCTCACATTTTAGCCTTTGCACTCATCTGGGACTTCTCTCTCTCCTACCCACATCCAGCCCATCGGTGAATCCTGACCAGCTTCATCTTCATTACGTACCCTTCTTTCACCCCCACTGTCAGCACCATCATCTCTTGTCTGGATTATGTAAATCGACACTTAACTTGCCTCTTTGCTTCTGCCCTTGCCACTTACCAACCCTACCCCAGACTGATTTCCATACGGCAGCCAGAGGGGCCCTTTGAAGATGAATTCAGATCACTTTTTTTCTTCCAAACCTTCCAAATAACTTGAGTCTTGGCCCCAGTCTACATGATCTGCCCTCCCTCCCCACCCCTCTCCAATTCTGATCTCATTGCCTACCCGCCCCCCTCTATTCTGCTTCAGCCCACTGCCTCCTCCTTGTTTCTGCACATGGCGAGTGTGCTTCTGCCTCAGGACCCTCGCATTTGCTGGGATACAGACCCGAGTTTCAGTGACTCTTAGGCCCTGCATTCGTGGAACTACATGACCCAGGAAGGGAGGGCTGTGGTTGGAGGAAGCAACGCACTAGCGGAAAATCTCTACTGAAAGATAGTTGAATTCTAGGAGTTCCCGCCTCCTAGAACTCTCTTCTCCTAGATATGGGCATGGTTCACCCACCCACTTCATTCCAGTTTCTGGAGGAACTACTGCAATATAGCGCGCTGCCCTGCCCCTTTCACATTCCCTTCACCCAGTTTTTTTTTTTCTTTTTAGTTGTTGTCAACATCCAACAGAGAATGTTTGTTTATTTATCTGTCTCCTTCCAGTAGGGATTTCTGTTTGTTCACGGCTGTATCCTTAGTGGCTTTAATAAGAATTTGGCACTGTTAGAATAGTAATAAGCCCTCAATAAATATTATTAAAGGAATTAATAAATGAGCAAAGGCATACATTTTAAGACTCTTTTTACCAATTTTTCAAATAGCAGACAGTGATTTTTTTCATTGTCAGTTGTTAGCATTTTAAGGACTTTATTTGGTTCTTCCTCTACGGTTTCGTATTTGTAGTTAATGTACACCCACGCTGAAGAATGACTCATACAGTGCATTGTGAAATCTTTTCTGTATTTCTTCATCTTTCCAGTGCTTTAATATTTTTAAAAAACAATTTCATCAAATGTTTAAAAGCCACTAAAACCTTCCCACTGATACTGATTGCTGCAAACTTTTTACTTAAATGAAAAATTTTGGAGTGAGGTAAGTTTGGTAAATTTGCAAAACTGGGCTTGTGGCAAACAGGATTTTGGGAAGCTGACTTGTTTAACACTCCCCTCCCTGGCCCCGGCAACTTGGGGCTGATTTGCACCTGCTCCTGTAGATCAACACCAGTGCAGAGAGAAACTGGCTTCACATCAGCTCGGATGCATCCCGCCTGGCCATCATCTGGAAATACGGTGGCATCTACATGGACACCGATGTCATCTCCATCAGGCCCATCCCTGAAGAGAATTTTTTGGCTGCCCAGGATTCTCAATACTCTAGTAATGGAGTATTTGGGTTCCTCCCCCACCACCCTTTTTTGTGGGAATGCATGGAAAATTTTGTTGAAAACTACAATTCAGACATTTGGGGCAATCAAGGCCCTGATTTGATGACAAGGATGTTGAGGGTATGGTGCAAACTTGAAGACTTCCGGGAGCTGAGTGACCTCAGGTGTCTGAACATGTCCTTCCTACACCCCCAAAGATTTTACCCCATCTCCTATCCAGAGTGGAGGCGCTACTATGAAGTGTGGGACACAGATCCAAGCTTCAATGACTCTTATGCCCTGCATTTGTGGAACTACATGAACCAGGAGGGGCGGGCTGTGGTTAGTGGAAGCAACACACTGGTGGAAAATCTCTACCAAAAGCACTGTCCTGGTACTTACAAGGACCTGATTCAAGGCCCAGAGGGGCCAGTGACTGGGGAGCTGCATCCAGGTAACAAATAGAGCCAACACTAGGTTACTGCTGCTGCAGTGTGGAAATGGACATTTCCTGGAGTGCGACACTTTCACTTGATCTCCACTGTCTCTTTGTGGGGGTGGGGTGGGCTGAGGGTTACCCAAATGTCAGTTAGGATTAGTTTTCTCTGTCTATAATAGAACAATCCCAAATAATATTGGCTATAAAACATACACCCATGGTCCATGTGGCTGCATGACCTCCAACCCATCAAGTCTGCATTTCAGGCAGTAGGACGAAGAAAAGAGAAAAGGTGCACTTGCTTGATTTTGTGAAGACTTCCTGCAAGTACCATATAACACTTCCTCTTACATTGCACTGACTGGGATGTAGCTGCAAGAGACGCTGGAAATTTAAGGAGGAAGAAAAAATGGGTGCTGGATAGGCAGCTACCAGTTTGCTACATGTTCTATTTCTTCTTCTTTTTTTTTTTTTAAGATGGGGTTTCATCATGTTGGTCAGGCTGGTCTTGAACTCCTAACTTCAGGTGATCCACCCGCATTGGCCTCCAAAGTGCTTGGATTACAGGCGTGAGCCACCACGCCCAGCCTCTATTTAATATGGGAAGATTAATTCTAGGACTTGTTAGAGCATTGACTGAGGAAAAAAGATACTTGATTTCTAGTCCTGATTTTGACATTCATTAACGGATTCAGTCAATAAATATTAATTGAGGCTGGTCTATATGCCAAGCATTGATTTAGATGCTGCAGATACAACTGAATCAAGCAGATGAGGTCCTCAGCACTTATATCCTAATCCCTGGCCTCATGACCCTGGGACAGTCTCCTCCCCTGCTGAGGGTGTCTGCTGTTCTCTACCCTATCTCTTTCCAAAATACACAGTAACCCTGTCATAATTGGCCCATACAAGCAAATTATAAACTCAGACTAGTTAAAACTGCTTTCCTTTTTAGGTTTACATAAAAAATTTACCTCCTGCATTTCAAAATGTCATGTTCAAAACACCATAAATATATACAATTTGTATTTGTGAATTATAAATAAATAAATTATTTCTTTTCAGGAGGTATGAGAATTAATATTTCTTCAGCAAAGACTTCCAGCCAAGATTTTCTAGAACTTTCCTTTTGGCAGTTTGCTTTATGGAAAAAAGTTTACATTTGCCCTCAAATTTAAACTATAATACCTTTTCAAACTATATCCATCTATCCCTCTTTTATTCGAATATTTCCCCCTTTAGGAATTACAGCTGGCCAGGCACTGTGGTTCACACCTGTAATCCCAGCACTTTGGGAGGCTGAGGCAGGTGGATCACTTGAGCCCAGAAGTTCAAGACCAGCCTGGGCAACATGGTGAAACTCTGTCTCTACAAAAAAAATGCAAAAATTAGCTGGGTATGGTGATGCATGCCTGTGGTCCAAGCTAGTTGGGAGATTGAGTTGGGAGAATCACCTGAACCTGGGAAGGTTGAGGGTACAGTGAGCCAAGATTGTGCCACTGCACTCAGCCTGGGTAACAGAGCCAGATCCTATCTCAAAAAAAAAAAAAAAAAAAAGAAGAAAAATTACTGTTTTGACAGTCTTATTAAAAAACATTCACAAGTCATGTCTCCTGCGCCAGCTTTCTTATTCACAGCTACTTGCTTTGGACTTGTAGATGTCTGATACCATCGTCAGGCTCTGAGGCCTGCTGCCATACCCGATGGCTGTCCTCTGGGTTGTGTCCTTGGAACCACTACTGGTTTTTACCTCTCCTTAGTGTCTCCACAGGGGAGGATTTCTAGGGCTAGCTGTCTTAGAGACAAGCAGGGACACATACATTGTCTCTCACTTCTACATCTGGAGAATGCATGACCAGATTTCTGGAGAAATGGTTCAACTATCGAACACTCCTGACCACCAGGGTTTTGAGGATTTGATTAGAAATATTTTTGATATTTCAAAAATATGTGAACTGGCCACACACATTGGCTCACACCTATAATCCCAGCACTTTGGGAGGCCAAGGTGGGAGGGTTGCTTGATGCCAGGAGTTTGAGATGAGACTGGGCAACACAGAAAGACCCTGTCCCTACAAAAAAAATATAGCCAGGCATGGTGGCGCATCTGTAGTCCTAGCTACCTGGGAGGCTAAGGAAGGAAGATCACTTGAGCCCATGGGTTCGAGGTTATGGTGAACTATGGTCACACCACTGCAGTCCACCCTGGGTAATACAGTGAGATCCTATCTCAAATGAATAAATAAATAAATCTACATGTACACACACATACAAATTTATTTTGACATTAATGATAATTTGAAGTTTATAGGGAGCTTTACCTGGCAGTAAATTATATTTTTAATTAATAAAAAATGTAGGAAATAAAGTAGTAATGTGTTAATTAATGACTTCAGTTTGCTTAGTGGAAAAGAATATTTCAAAACATGGTGGTGATGATGATGGCAAGAGTAGTAAGAGGTAAGAAATGTGAGGTTCCTGGGACCCCAGATAACCCTGGATTCCTTCTGGCCTTTCGTGAATCTATGCCATGCATTTATGTCAGCCTACGTTTTGCAAATAGGCTCATGCTGATGTTTTTCCCTGTATTAATTTTTTTTCAAATCCTACTCATTTTAGAATTTCAAATAGGATTGTGTGGGGCAAAAAGTGAAAGTGCCTCTTGTGTACTACTGTTAGGTTTGTATGTACCTCTCACTTTTTCTCTGCATATATATTCATGCTTATTGGTAAGAAATCTTCCAAGTACCCTACACTGCCACCTTGTCTGTCCTTGTTTTTTCCCCTGGACTTGCACAATTCAACAGGCCTGTCTAGTTTCTTTCTCCAGGGTAAGGGCCAACATCAGTGCTGATTGATTGGTATGTGTGCCAGACTTGTTAAATATTTTGAATACCATTCCTGAGTTTCTTATATATATAGTTTAAAAAAAACATAAATGGAATAATAAGATACATGTTATGGCCAGGTGCAGTGGCTCATGCCTGTAATTCCAGCACTCTGGGAGGCCGAGGTGGGTGGATCACTTGAGGTCAGGAGTTTGAGACCACCAGCCTGGCCAACATGATGAAACCTCATCTCTACTAAAAATACTAAAACTATATGGGCATGGTGGTGGGTACCTGTAATCCCAGCTACTTGGGAGGCTGAGGCAGGAGAATTGCCTGAACCCAGGAGGCGAAGGTTGCAGTGAGCCAAGACTGCACCACTGCACTCCAGCCCTGGCAACAAGAGAAAAAAAAAAAAAAAGATACTGTTATTTGTATGTTGTTTTTCACTTTAAAAATATATATGTCTTAGGTACCTTTTTTCATTAGCACACAAAGATATACTTTATTCTTTAAAATGGTTGCATAGTGTTTCATTGTAGAATACATGATTCATAATCTATTCAATCACTACTCAATTGATAGATATTTAGGTTATTCTAATTTTAATAGTACACATAATACTATAGCAAAAACTTCTGATTCCCACATTTTTTGAGGACTTTAAATTGTGATATATGCTGCCAAATTATTTTGCTAGAAGGCTGTTTGAAACTGCCCATTTTCCCACTTTTCACCAATTTAAAACAACTATTTAATTTTGGCCAGTATAATAGTTTAAAACATGTAATTTTTATGACCATTTTGGTAAGGCTGTTTACATGTTTAACTGGCAATATTTTTTTTATTCTATGAATTATCTCATCTTTTGTCCACTCTTTTGGGTTGTTCTATCATTTATTTATAAGCACTCTTTATAAATTAATGTCACTAATACTGTATCATTACACTGCAATTTTTTAGTCTGTTCTTTGTTTTTTAACCTCATTTAGGATGTTTTCACAATATATGTTTTAAAATTTTGTGTAATCCTGTGTTTTTTTTTTCTTTTGGGTTTCATGCCATGCTTACCTACCCTTCCATCACCCTGCTCCCCTTTAAGAAATAAACGTAAAGCTCTCTCACCTAAAGAATTGTCAGGACCCTGAATCACAGAGGTATCTTCTAAACTAAGAAGCAAAGTTAATGACTCACTCTCCTTGGTGAAATGGGGCAGGGATTACTAATTTGGGGGCCTGTGAAGAGATTTTGGGGGACTGGGAATTTACAACTTTATTTTTACTAGCTGTTAATCAAAATGTACTATTTCTTTCAATTATGAATGTAGGCCACCAACCACAGTAGTGTTAGTAGAACCTGTGACTTTGTCATTAACTATTAGTTTTTTCTATCACATTAAAGTTATTACAGATATCTTGAAATACTGTTTACACTCTTACTACTTTTAGATCAGATTCTAGGTCTTGCCATTTAATCCATTAATAAACAAAAATGCTATTTTACATATTTTCTTATGTTTTCATAGCTATATTTTCAATATGTTGATGCCCTCTCTAATTATGTGTTTTACTTTGTGCATTTAAAACCATTCTTAGGCTGAGTGTGGTGGCTCACGCTTGTAATCCCAGCCCTTTGGGAGGTCAAGGCAGGTGGATCACGAGGTCAGGAGTTCGAGACCAGCCTGAAGAACATGGTAAAACCCTGTCTCTACCAAATATACAAAAATTAGCTGGGCATGGTGGCACACACCTGTAGTCCCAGTTACTGCGGAGGCTGAGGCAGGAGAATGGCTTGAACCTGGGAGGCAGAGGTTGCAGTGAGCTGAGATTGTGCCACTACACTCCAGCCTGGTGACAGCGAGACTCTGTCTCAAAATAATAATAATAATAATAATAATAATAACAACAACAACAACAATAACAATAAGTCATTCTGAGGAAAGGGTATGGGCTTCATCAAATTGCCAAAGGAGAATCACTCCTCCAAAAGGTAAGAGTCCAGGTAGGAGGCAGCTGGGGCAGCTCCTTCCAGATCCCACCCCCATCACTGCCAGCCAATGACTGGCCAGATCACAGCCAGCCCACCACACCTTAGGCCAGGCTCATCCAGCTGCGCATTTTCACTTCTGCTGAAGAGACCTTTTCCTGAGCAAGGAGGTCTCTTCGGTAAGTGCTCAGACTTCCTTCCAAGTGATCTTTTCAGCGTTTGGGCTAGAATGCAGGATCTGCCTAAGAAAAAGTTTCCTCTCAGATCCTGCCAGTTCTAGACATGTTGGAGGGCAGGTCTTTTGTTGCCAGGTTCTTATTCAGGAGAAATCGGCAAACCAGATTTTATGTAAAATCCCCCTGCCTGCCTATCTATACATCAACACAGAAAACCCAACAATACGCTTTTGACCTAAAATCACCTCAGGGCTCATTAGTGGTGGGCATCCCAGCACTGGGAGACCTGTCCCATACACTTCAGATACATTTCCCTCCAGGAGAGGTGTGGTGCCAGCAGTTTGCAGCAGAGGGCACTATCACAGGCTGCCTAGTCTGTGTCTTATTTCCTGAGGTGTACGAAGGAGACCACCTATGAAAGGGGCTGAGGTGGGTCAGAGGGCGGGTGCCTAGTACTGGGCTGAGGAGGGAGTGAGGGGCCACTGGCATATTGAAAATCCATCCTCCTGTCCTCCCACCCAGCAGTTATGGGCCACCCTACTCAGGGTGACAGGAATGTCTCCTGGACTAGCCAGCTAGGGCCAGTCTCCCTTGGCCTATGCACCTGTCCCCACGGCTGATGCCAGATTTTGTGTCTGCTGCATAGAGGTGGGCAGCAGAGAGTGACAGCTTTCCAGTGCCATGTGATCTAGTCCTCTATAAGCTGTTAGTATCCTTGGGACTAAGAACAGAACTTGGCACATAATAGGCACTCAGTAACTCTTCCCTGTGTTGAGTGTTGAACTAAGGCCCAGGAAGGGAAGGGTGTGAGAATTCCATGCGTGAGGTCTTAGTCAGCTCAAGTTGGAGGACTTGGTTTTTGGCTAAGGCAGATCTGGGCACATGTCAAGTCTACTTTCTCACACCAGCCCTGCAAAGAAGGGCACCCTATTTACACATGGGGAAATTGAGGCTGGTGGAAATAATGCACACAAACACACAAAAAGGTACCCTCGGAACTACTTTCTGCAAACTTCAGGGATACACAGTGGGAAGAGAGCTGAGAAGCAAATGTCCCAGGTGATTTCACAGTGTGAAGTCAGGAAAGCACATCGCTGACTTCTAGGCCGCGGGCAAAGCCTACAGATAACTTAGCTTATTTGGTTCTAACATCTCTTCTAGGTAGAGTTTATTTTTTCCATTTTACAGATGAGAAAAATGAAGGTCAGAGAAGTTACGTGACTTTCCCAGGGTTATGTAGCTTGGGAATGTGGAATGTAGATGTATCTTTGACTCCCAAAGCCTGGACTCTTCTCTTTGCTCTTGTGGGTGGCAGAAAACCCTGGGGTGAAAAAAGTGCCCTGACTAGGAGAAGACAGCAGGAACAAGATTTGCCATCTGAGCAGATGGCACACAGATATCCTAACTTGGTTCTGGTCTCTGCTCCATCCACTATTTTTTTTAAAGTTTAAAAAATTGTGGTAAAATATACATAATATAAAATTTGCCATTGTATCAATTTTCAAGTGTATAATTCAGTGGCATTAAGTACATTCACATTATTGTGCAACCATCACTACCATCCATCTCTGGAACTTTTTCTTTTTTTTTTTGAGGTGGAGTTTTGCTCTTGTTACCCAG